GCTGATAAATATCATAGATTGCTCTACTATTTTGTTCAGTGGGCACACTTGGATTTTGAGAAAATGTTGAGACTGTAGGTACTAGAGAGAGAGATCACAAAGTAAAGTGTCAGATTAGGGGGAGGACAATTGAACTGTGTCAAGAGACACATTGGTCTCAGTGACATCACACTAGGACTCCAACATTAAGCACTATTGAAATTTGTTTGATTTAGCTTACGCTACTATATGGACTCAGCAACTATAGATTGTAAACCTGGTTTATAATTTAATATTATGGTAAAGCCCAACTATTCTAGTTTACTCAACAGAACCTAGATAAAACAAACCTTGGCTTCATGCAATGTGTGAACTACTGTCAGATGGAATGACATAATAACAGACTAACAGAGTTGGAAGGGACCATAGATGTCTTCTAGTCTTCCATTATAATGACCTGCTATTCTACTTATTAATTTGCAACAATCCTAGGAAACTTTACACTTGCAATTAGATCCAGCAACAGGTAGAAGATGTGGGCACAATATCAGAATGCCTTCTGCTGTTCCTTCAGCTCCTCTCCTGCCCCTGCAGGATACTTCTTACCTCTACTTACCTACTTCATTTTCTGGGCAGATAAATCCATGTCCAGGACTAAGCTAAAGCACCCCAGCATTATTTTTTTTCTGTGGGGAACATTTGGGACTCAGGCATTCTTGAAAATGCCTACCATCAACATTTGACAAGACAGGAATGGAAATGATGGTGGTGGCCAGTGTATTCTCTGTCCCCAGTATTTTATATTGGGAAGTGTATATATATATATCCAGTGAGATAGGATTCTTAATTGAGCATGCTTAAAATGTAAGATGTATTTGCACTTGAAAAGCACTCCAGTGGTTTAGGGAAATTCATCATAACACCCTAGTGTTCTGGCTTTCAATCAGATTTGACACAATTAGACACCCATAACGTGTGTTTTTTGTGGAAAGCTAGAAGTTAAATGGACAAAATTAGTAAAGTTATGTTCATGCTTTAAAGGCAGCATTTTGGAAGTGCTAAAAAAATTGCAGAATGTTAATTAGAGATATTTTTTCTCATCAGCACTCTTCATAGTTAAGTTAGGCTTTTACTTTATGGTGTGCTTATTTCATTGGATATATTGATGCCTGGGGATCTTCACAGCCAGCTGAAATTGTGGTAACCTTTTATGGAAGAGATAACATCCTTTCTGCTTTCGTACCCAGAGGGACAGTCTTGATCAACTTCAAGTGACAAAGGAGAATTGCAAAGAGGAATTATGTGCAAGTTGCTATTTCCAAAAATAGATAACTGACAGATTTATTTAAGATTATAATTTTGGGTAGGTTTCTAGTGCTTGACTAATTAACATCAGAATAAGGCTGAAGATTGATTTCAATTTCTTAAAAGCATATATAAGAAAGTAGTAATTGGTGTGTTCCATGTAAGCAATAGTGAGACTCCGTTCATCTAGTTAGTATACAGCACCCAATTTCCCATTGATTTTCTAGATTTGTGAAAAACATTGTCACAAACAAAATTCTAGGTTGCCAGGGTTTTATCTGCACGACATTACTTAATATCCATATAGAACTAGGATGATTCTATTCACATATAAGATTACATTATGAAGTTAACTGAACTGGGTAAAAAATAAATCTAGAAATCTTTTTTTACATTAAAATTCCATACAGCTAGACAGATTGATTTTTGATGCTCTGAAGAAAAAAAATGTGGGACAATGATACAATCTATTAAAGTCTAGATCGAAAGAACCAAAGAATCTCCAGTGTGCTGTGAACGGAGGATGAGATATGATCAAAACCAGAATCAAATGAAACCTGAATTCTCTAAAGTTAAATCTAGGTAAGACTGCTTGGAGCCATAGTTTGTATAAAGATTATTTAAATAAACCTGAAAGTCTTACTTGGAGGAACTATGATCTTCTGGCAGATCATAGGATGTAATCAACAGTCAATGAAAATCCAAAGAAATTGTGTCTTGTGAAATTTGGGTGTGACATTAGAACCATAATAGCTAGATGACTTCTGAAAAAAAATGAAGCAGTGAAGACAGATCCATGTAAGTGGAGTTGACAATTGCAACTAAAAACAGGCAGGTGAATGAGCACCTTGTTGAAACACTCTGGGCAAAGAGAGGATGCAAGTTCACCAGGAACCAAGGGAATATTAGTTCACACTTCCTCTGCTAATCACCTATTAGAAATTGATTATTAACAACTTTAAAAAGATTAGAGACCTTCAAAATAACAAGGCTGGAAACACAAGATGAGTGCCTTCGCTCCTTAATACTTCTTAATGGTTACTTTAAAAGCTTTAAGAATATAAAATAAACAGCAAAAACCAAGATGTTTAGAAAGTTTTAAACAGATTAAGAGCTCTGAAAAGTTGGAATATTTGATTTTGAATATTAATACTTTGAAATAAATTCTAAAGAATAATAGTATTTTTGTGGGAAAGTTATTTTCAATATTGGAGACACTAGAAATAACAAGATAAGCAACTTGGTGTTCAAAGACATTTTTGAGGAATAGCACTGGGATCTTGAATCATTGATGAGAGCTATGTTGTCTGTTCTTAGCAACATTCTATTCCCAGATGAGGCTGTTAGAGAAAAAGATTTGCAACAAAGTCTATCTGGGAATGTGAACAAGAATTTGTCATTAGACATAAAAAAAATCAGATGAGGCTTTAAAAAAGGAAACAAGAATGCCAATCCCAGAGAGTAATTGGTATAATATTTTTGGGTGGATTAGAAAAGCTTTTAAAATTTTTGAAGAAATTTGAGACAAGGATCAACAATCATTTGAATGGATTAAAGAGCACAATTGTTTTGTGCAAAAAGTAGGAAAACAAAGTTAGTTTATTCAATCAGGGTTAAAATTGGGACATATTATTTTGGGTGATTCTTTTTGGACTTGCTGACATCTGAACTGGAAAAAATCTTGTGTACTGGATTTGCTTATGGTTAATATGGTGTTTGGAGAGCCAGTTTTGTATAGTGGTTAAAGCATTAGGCTAGAAACAGGGAGGTCATGAGTTCTAATCCTGCCTGAGGCACAAAGCCAGCTGGGTAATTGTGAAATTCTGAAAAACTGCCCTTAAAATTGCAGTAACTTGTTCAAGCAGACAATTGAATGGAAGGGAGAAAACACTTAAGCCTTTAAATATGTTTGTTATATATCCTAACTTGGCAGCATCTAAATTGGCTTGTCTTTTCATTTAAATTAAAATAACTTTATGAGCTTGCGCTTTTTAAAGGAGATATTGTCCCCTTGTGATATTCAATTTCAGCCTTTGGTTTATACTAGGATCCTGGGACTACTTTATGTCTAACCCCCCTTTATGTGTTTTTTTTTCAAGAGTCAAGATATAAAATGAGGAGTCATGTTTGTTAAGTAGTATTATTTTAGAGTTCTGTTTGAATTTTTTTCTTTACAGCTGGATTGGAAAAAACATTACTTCCTGAATTTCCTTATAGTTGAATTATGGGATGAAGAATTTTGTATCTGTTAATTAAGAGGTAAAAAGGGAGAGGAATTGTTGACACTTGTTATAACAGGAAGTTGCTTTCTTTAAAAAGTTTATTCTTTCTCTTTGGCATATTTTATTTGCTTTCTTATTTTTAGTTTGTATCACCTTTTACTATTGTACCATTCAGAACAGGTTTGGGAGGTAGTGGGAGAAAACCAAACAATGTTCTCCACAAGTAGATACTCTGTCATCTGTTCATATTACATTGTTTGCAAACACAGTAGACGGAGTAACTGGTGTGATGTGTTTCCTTGTAAAACGCAGTCCCTAAAGGGAAACTAAGAAATCCCCGTTTGCCTAAAATTGGGACTGGGGATATACTAACCAAGAATTGGCTTTTTAAACTATGCTCAATGACCAATCCATAAAATCTATTACATGGATGTAGTTAATGCTGATTAGTTCATTATGTAGAGAGTGCCAACTAGACTGCTGGCATCTTATATGGTAGATTTGTTTGAATCTCAACAAAACGTTTTAAATAAAACTGGTCAGAGTAACCAGGAGATTTACTTTGGTGTAGAGTTAACAGAACATGACAAGTGGCAGCATAAAATGAATGTAATTGCTCATTTTCGTAGCTCTTTCACAGATTGCTCTTAACTTTTAAGTGAAAACAAGGGGCAATGAGACAGGCATTGTGAACATGCTTTTACTAGCTATTCTGAAACTCTTTTTGACATGCCTTAATTATTCCTAATTGGATTTTAAGTTTGATCAGAGACAGGCATAGCCAAATTACTCAAAGCTAAGAGAATTAGTTTGTTTAGTACCTTACTATATGTTGATCAGGCTAAACTGATTTACAGAAGTATCAGTTAATATATTATTATCCTTCTATTATTTTGTTAGTATACTTTAATATTTAGGACTTGTTTATTATAATTAACAAAGTTTTCTCTTAAAATGTTACATATTCCATTGAAGAAAGAAAAAGACCCAAACACTGTTTTGGGCAGAGGCTGCTCACTCCTGTGCCACTGATTGCATCTTGGTTCTGGAGAGGAGATGCTATCATTAACGGGATCATTTAGTACTTTGGAAGGAAATAATTCTATCTTCCCAGTTGTCTAATTCCTACTTCATTTCACAATGAGCAAGAACATCCAAGTATTCAGCATTTACCTCATCAATTTTATATTAATCGGATTTCCCAAATATTTCCATTCATCTCCTCAATGATTGTTTTGAATTCAAAACCACGATATTATTAAATAATGTTACCTTATTCCACCTAATAAAAAATTGATTGTACTATATTGTATTGGCATCTTAAAAATTAAATACTGAAAACCAGTGATGACAAAATACATTTTTTTCTCATCTCTCACATGTAAATTGAATTATTTGTTTTGTAATCACATAAATGTATTTTTCTTTGTACACAAATACAGATGGATCACATAAACAGTATTTAAACGCTTTTGAACAAAAATACATTTCATATCAACAGGATATAATTTTATTTGTGACATTTTGATAGCATACATACTTTTGCAGCAGCGGTAAACAAATCAGTAAAGATTCCTGCTTGAAATAAATTTTATTCTTTGGAATGTCTGCATCCAGTCCCATTTCCCATCACAGAGCATAAAGACAGACATTAGAGAAAATAGCCATCATTTTAAAAAAAAAACCCTTCATAGTGGCAATCTCTAGGATTTGTTATTACATCAGTCATTGCACTTGGTTATTTATTGCTACAGGAAAAAAGACAATATAATAATTAACACTTCTGCGTTCCATGATTGTCCTAAATTTGTCTGCTATATGCTTCAAGGTATTAGAAAAAGTTGTTTTACAGCAACCTATTTTGCCTCACATTCAGGTTCTAAATAAGGCGCATATAAAATGACTTTTCTTTAATCAAAACCAATTCTTGTTTGCATAATCACAGTAGGGTGTAAAGAAACTGGAATCAGAAAAAAAAACCTCTCTCGAATTTCAGCACTCAAGGCCATTTTGTTTAATTTAGGATGGATCTGATCAATTAAGACAGGTCAGTTCATATATCTATCTCCTCTTACTGAGTGTGCTGTTCCACTCTGCCCAGTTTGGTACTGCACCAAAACCTCTACTTTGGTACAATATAGTACAGCGTTGAAGAGGAACAGAAATGTGTTTTGACTAGTGCAAGTAAAGTTTTTCTTTTTAAGGCACCATTTTTACTTAGTATTAGTGCTTCCGCAAAAGTATGAAGGTAAGAGGAAACTCATTCCTTTTCTTTTCCTAGGAAGAACGAAGAAGCCATTTTCCCTTCAAGTTCAGTTACCAGAAGGAAGAGGTGGATTTTTGGTGAAACAAATCCTTGTAGCTTTAAAAAAAAATCCCTCTGCAAGAGGAAAAACAGTATCTTCCTTTTGTGCAGGGTATGGAATAAAGAAAAGGTGGCTGGAGTGATCCCAAGAAAATAAGAACTATCTCTCATTGCTGGTGCTTGAGGGGTGGGGTTTTTTTTTTGGTAAACCCAAAATCACATTGTAAAATTCCTCATGCATTCTCAATTGTGTAATGTGTGTGTGTGTGTGTGTGTGTATGTGCGCGTGCGTGTGTAGGTTAAAGAAAATAGAAAGTCAGACTTGAAGGTGCTATCAAAAAGCTACCTCCTACTGGGGAAAAAAATAATACTTTAATGAACATTGGGAGAGAGAAAGGCAGATGGTTTCTAAGTTTCTATTCTGCAAAACTTTGATTTTGAAAGGACAGCTAAAAGGTATAACTGCTGCTATTCAAGGAAATAGAAAACAAAATACGATGGTACTTCAGGTACCTTGGGAGACAGGCAAATTTTTCGTCTGTCAGTCCACCATATTTGTTGAAGAAGATGGCTTATTTCTATTCCTCCTGAGTTTTGCAGAGGATTACTTGCAAAAGATCTGTTAAGACTAAACATGCCTCCCATCTCTGGATTCTATGCAAAAATGAGGCCAATAAGCCCACAAATGGTGATTTTGACTACTAAGTCAAGAATTATTAATCTCTTTATAAATTAGTATGAAATGGATCTCACTGAGCTTGAAGTTAATAAACTGAGAACATACAATATACTATGATTACTAAGGAAAACTGGCAACAGAGGATGATCATTGTGTGATATATTAGTTTATGTTATTAGCTCTGTATCCATATAATAAGCAAACAGTCATCATAACTTTATATGCTCATGTTTTCATTTCCAATTTTAATCCATTGATTTATATTTGGAACTAGAATTAACTTTTTTTATGTTAAAAACACTAACATGGTTTGCTCACATCCAAATAAGACAAAATATTAATGCCATGTAAAACAGGACATAGGCATCAAAACATTCCAATCATTTAGAACAAGCCTAAAATCATGAAACAGTTCCCCCTTTCTATAAAGTTTTAGGATAGCAATGCTAGAAGGGAAAAAGGCTGAATTATATCTTTATCTTTGGCTTGAACAGAGCACCAAATAACTTCAGTTTTTCTTCTTTACAGAAAATAAATTGGATTTTAGGCTGTAGAAATAACTTAAACAAATGACTCAAAGAAACCTTGTTAAAATATACAGTAATTCAATTTGAATTCTAAAGCATAAGCCAAATATTTACCTAAAAACTCATTATGGATTTACTGAATACTTTAACAATTAGGTAGATTATATACCCTTATTTTAAGACTGCATTTAGAAAACTGGTAGCTTTAAATATTTTGTTATATGTAGGTTTTTAAAATGTTACAATTATTAGTGCAAAGCATTTAAAAGCTGATGATATTGTAGTGTTAGATTTATAATCTGTAAAAAGAAATGAAATACTCAGGAGAATATTTAACATGTCACATTCTGTAGTAATTAGCAAAAACGTCATCCTATAGGATTATCTCAAGTTTATGCTTTGATTTTTCTAAGTATTCATGTGTTTGTATGTGTCCAGATGTCCTAGTTATAGATCCTTTCTATAAATTCTATAGTGCAAGAACCACAGTACTATACTCTGGATTCTCAGTTAAGGAAATATTACAATATCATGGTGCTAGAGTTTGGTGATCCTCCTGCTTCATAGTGAGAACAAACTCAAAAGACCTGAACAATAAAACAGCATAGGATTAACGTCATATTCCCTTTAGCAAAATGAAAAGACTTTGAAACATACAAAACTATACCATTTGCCTCTCTCCTATACTATATATTTTACAGTTTATTTTCAAAGATATTGCCTTATTTATAGTACAGATCTCTTAAAATTTCAATAAAAATATACTAAGAACCCCCCTTTTATACAGATTCAGTAGTATTCTCAAGCAAACCCTGCCATACTGCACAGTAAGAAATAAGGCCTCTCCTATATTGGCAAGAAACAAACAAAAAAGCTATCCATTATTTTCCTCATAGCTCACAGAATATAAATAAGATTATACTCAGATTTTTTTTTCTAATGGAATGCTATCATCCGTTGGCTTGAGGTCTAAAAAAGTCAATTTCATTTCTGATTCTGAAATCCTGGCACATAAAGGATCAATGGAATGCGGCTCTTTCATGTAGTTATAAGAGCTTTCTTGAGTTTTTCTATTTCCATCTGTGAATGATATAAACAGTAAACATTAATAAAATAGAGAATGTTTCATATTTCATGCACATTTACAACCCATCAAATATATATTACATTTAGTACTGCTCTTCATTCTATTATATTCTAGAAATTTATTACTGGCATAAATTATCCTCTGCCATGACAGTCTCATGCAGCAGCAACATCACAACAGCTTCTACCATTTAACTTATTTATTTAGATTCACACTGCTGTCCATCTCACATAAAGCAACTCTGGGCAATTAATGCAATAAAGGCATAAATATAATAAAAGGATGAAATAAATAAAACGCATCAGAAAATAACCAAAAATGGATACCAGGAACAAATTCATTCAAGGAATTTCAAGAAACTGAATCCCAGTTTGTATGGTTCTGAAGGTTTGAATTCAGTGATTCAAGGTTTTGCCGGTAATGAGTGTTTTGAAAAGTGCCTCATGGCTCTAATCTCCCTCCCCTCTTTAATATCTACATGAAGCCACTGGGTGAGATTATACAGAATAAAATATCATCAATAAATGATAATACTCAGATATATATTCTTGTATACTCCACTGCATAATGTGCACCAGTTGCGCCTGATCCTGCATTAGCAGATCTTTTTTATAGTCACCCATGCCTTAGTAATCTCTTAACTGCAATGAGAATGCCTCTGAAGACTATCTGAAGTCTTAATTTAGTCCAAAGGCTGCAGCCCAGAAAATTATGGTGGAGCTCATTATGCCCACGGGATGCCACAATGTTAGCTCCATTGACTCCCAGCAGGCTTCTGGGTGTCCTTGGAGGTGCTGATTAAGACTTTTCAAACCGTATTTGGCTTAGGACCAGAATATATGTGGAACTGTCTGTTCCCCAAAACAGCAACACGGAGAACGTGTTCCATGTTCCCTCGCTTAAACACTGCCCTCTTATGGGATGTAGGAAGTCCATCTCTTTGGTGGCTATTCCTGTGCTCTGAAATAATCCCTTCCAAAATATGATGGGCTCTAACACTACTTGCCTTTTTAAAAAAATGTTAAAACATGGCTTTTCCTCCAGGTGTTGAGTTATTAATTATGACATCTGGTTACCATTTCACATTGTTTTTTAACATATGTTTTTGTTGTTATTTTTATTAATTGATTTATTTTATTCCACCTTTATTATTTTTAGAAATAACTCAAGGTGACAAACACACATAGTACACTTTCCTCCTATTTTTTTTATTGTCTACTTTTGGTCTGTGCTGCCCAGAGACACCCATTGCTTGAGCTGAATGTCTGCCAAATATTTCAGTTGGTTGTCTTAGAAATGCATGAAAATAACAAAATAAATTTGAACAACAGAGAATTTTGAGTTAACACCACAGTTTTCTATGGTACAGTATAATATTTGCCTGTAATAAATATCAATTAAAGATGCAATCTTAGAGAAAATCTTAAATCTAAAGTAGCCATTTTATTCTCTACACTTAGCTTTCAATTGTGGTCCTGACTACCTCAGTTTTATAGACGATTAAGCTTGCCCTCAATACCATATTTTACGGGAGAGGATTTTTTTCCTCCTGCAAACTTGTAAGACTGCAGTTTTGATGGGAACTACAAGTGGATTGCCTACAATTTTTGAAACATCTTGATTTTCTCAAAATTTAACTCCAATTCACTATGCAGACATGTAGAAGTGTTTTAAAGTTTCTGTTTAGCTGCACCCTTGGCAGTTCTATGTCAATTTGCATTCAAGCACTAATTAGACTCTATTCCACTTAAGTTCTAAGCCAGGAAAAGATCAATCACTAACAGTCTACAGAACACTAATTGTATTTTCTACAAACATATAAAATAGTTTACAAAATGGAGATTAAATACATAAATTAAAATTGAATGTCATTTGTATAGTAAAGTTGGAGATAAAATGAACTTTTACCTAGTTTTTTACCAATTTTCTCTTTAAAATATTTTCTCCAAAATTGCAATCTTGCCACAATGAAAGTGTAAATTCAAATATGTACCAAGGAGTCTGAATATGAGGCTTCAGTGAAAGTACAGTTAAATGGCAAAATTCAAATAAAGTACAGGTAGTCTTTGTTTAACAACTGGTCACTTAGCGATTATTTCAAGTTCCAACATCTGCTTCCCCAAGCATTCAAAGTTCCAACATCTAACTTCCCCACAGTCAGAAACCAATGCACATTTATAGCCGTTTGCAACATCCTATGGTCATGTGAACACAATTTATGTTTTTTGTTGGAAATTGGTGATGACTTTTGCTTTCCTTCAAAATAAGCCATTGAGAACTATGAGTTACTTAACAACTGCTGTATTCACTTTGCAACAGCTGCAAAAATGCTATAAATTAGGTTGCTTAATGAGTGATATAACTTACAACCATATTTCTGGGCTCATTTAGGACCATAAGTGAAGGACTACCTGTATATCAAGTATCATTGTTTTACAGAGCCATTCACACAATATAGCAGTTCACTGTGTCTTCGATTTTGTGTTTGTATTTTATCACCAGCTACTTTTCAGCTTCAGAGGAGCTTCCATCCCGTTAGTTAAAATCTCCCCAGAAAATCTCAGGGAATAGGAGGAAAATTGGCAAAAAACAAAACAAAACATCCTTTCCCTGAAATTAGATGCCTAAAGAAGTCAAAGTATGCGGTACTTTAATATAGCTGCTGTGTTATGTTCTTGCTAAGAATTTGCATTAGTTTATTGAAAGTAATAGGATCTGTTGGGCTTCTATTTAAATATTTTACCTCTAGGTTACTTCGCATCTGCTTTTCTTCTTCCAAGTCTTTTTTCAGTTTTTCCAGTTGTTTCCTTTAAAATTTGCACAGACAAAAATTGCAGTGAAAAACCACCCTTACATAGCTTATGCAGTATACTATCTAGAGCTCGATTTAAAGGATAAGCAGCTTCCAAATAGAAGAGGACTGGCCTACCTTGAAAGCAGAAATATGAACAAGTATTAACTACTTTAAACTTCTCTATAAACCAGAAGGAAAATTTTTATCTGAGTGCAAAATCTCTCACACAGTGAGGAGACTGAAAAGAGTATCTCGGTATCTTGTCATATTCTGGTATGCACTCATATATTACCAATAAAACATGAAACCAGCAAACAAAAATAAAATCTCAGCTATTCCTGTTGCGGTACTTATATACATAGTTCTTCCTTATGAACAAAGTCAAGTTGTTTTAGCTAGCCCTTTATCAACAAACACATTATAAAGTATTTTGAAACTAATCCTTGAAATGTATAAAAATGTTGAAAATATGTCAAACATAGTAAGTTTTTCCTATCTATCTATATAGTAGGAATTGCAATACATAGTTCTCCAGCTGTTGAACTCTTGTCAACCCTAGCCAACAAGACCAATAGTATGTGATGATGGGAGATATAGTACAATAATACCAGATGGACTTCGTGATGCCTAAATCACTTTAAAAAGACATTGTGAAAAAAATGAGAAGGTCTTACCCATGTTCTTTTTTCAAGCTTTCTACAGCCAACAGGAGATCAAAGATCTGAGATCTTAGCTCTTCTAAAGAATGTTTTTCCCCTACATCTGCTTCCTGACTGAGCTTCGCTTCTCCAGCAATTGCATTCATTACAATAGAACTTGGTCGTGGTAATGAAGTCAGAACTGGTGAAGTAAGTTTTGATGGCTGAAACAGAACAACAGTTATCTAAATGAGGATGGTGAGAATACAGACAAATCTATTCACTGAAGCAACAGCAATAGCTCTTAGATTTACATATCACTCCACAGTGCTTTTACAACCCTCTCTAAGCAGTTTACAGAGTCAGCATATTGCCCCCAACAATCTGGGTCATCCTTTTACCAACCTCAGAAAAACGGAAGGCTGAATAAACCTTGAACCGGTCAGGATCAAACTCCTGGCTGTGGGCAGAGTCAGCCTGCTAAACTGCATTCTATCCACTGCATTACCACCACTATTTATTGAAAAACTAACAAAGTCTATATTTTTATATAGAATAATCACTTAAAATAATGGCTGATGGTACTTGACTGATACTTTGATGATTAATAAAACTATGGATAGACTATATCTTAGGAAGCCAAAATTTTGCAATCTGCTGCATGAATAAAGAATTCTAATAAAAATGTGGCCTCTTATGCTAGAAAAATTACATATTATAATCAGAAGATGGGAATATGGCAACTTATGGGCTGTGAAAACGAGTACCCAAATACCTCATTTATACTGCCCAGCATCCTGAGACCATATCCCAAAATTCAGCAGCAAAATTTGTGCAGTATATTTTTAGTATCTTTGATAAAGATGTGAAATTGTTCTCACTTTCTTCCTTCAATTCTTTCCCCTCAAATGGCAGGAAACTGTACTGCAGTTTTGTCATTCACTACTAAATTTTACTAACATTATCATCACATAAACAAAAAGCTGTTGTTCCAATGTTACCCACAACTGAACTAGATAAGTAGTCATATTTTGTTTAGTCAGAATGCACAAACAGTATTTATGCATTTTGTTTCAACAGGAAGACATAAAAATATTTAACTTTAATAATCTCCCACCCACAATTACTCAAACTAAATCTGTACCAATGCACTAGAACAGTGGTTCTCAAGTTGTGGTCCATAGACCACTGGGGGGGTTGTGATGTCATCACGGGGGCTCTGCAAAGACTTGAAGAAATGTTTTGATTTAAATCTTGAGTTAAGTCTTGGTGGTCCGTGGCCACAAAAGGTATTTAAAAGGAAGTTCATGGTGAAGAAAAGGTTGAAACTACTACATTAGAATATTACAGTAAGAATGTATCTTACTAAATGATTAGGATATTCTAATCATTTTGACTTCTTAATACAGATAAACACAAGCAATGTCAACATACCTTTTTACACTCAGATAATTTTAATTTGGCACTTTCTTCTTCTTCTTTATGCACCTTCACATTTTTTTCTACGCTTTGAGTCTGAGTAGTCTTTAATGAAGAAATATAAAATAGAAATCAGCATTTTTTGAGAAGTGTATTTATTCTAAAAGCTTTTTAGTAAAGCCATTTATAAAATCATCTAGTACATTTTATTTTATTCCTAAATAAAATTCAAGATGTTGGTTAGCAACTATTCTTTACAAAACAGCTAGCTATGTTTTAATAACCACCTTTTTCACCTTGTGATTCATGAACTGAGATCAAATGGGAGTTGCTGCTTCAGAGAACTCCACAATCGACAATGATCACTAAAATTTATGTTATTACAGTTTTACCCAAGTGAGAACTACTACGCATTATGTCCTGGAATGTGGTGAGTGACGTCCCATGAGTGTTTTGGAAGCCAGTAGACACTATCTTACTTCAGCAGGCATTTGGCGGATAATGTTCTCTTTTTCACTGGAATTGATTTGATGCAAAGATTGGGGGAGGGAGGGTTTTTGTGTGGGAGTACTTTGACATGTTCTGGATATTTATTGTAAATTGATTTGAATCTCACAAGCAAACCTTGTAGCAAACTAGTAGCAAACCTTGTAGCAAAAATAAAGTACGGTTTTCCTGTTTATCTATTTATATGGTCTCTGAACATTTTACTTATTAGATGTCTATGGAGATTCTTAGTCATCCAGGTCATGGTTGTCCCAAAGGTGCTTTTTTCAAAAGGCAACTGGACTTTCTGTTTTTTCTTTGAAGACAACGAAGAAAACAACAAATGAAGCAATGCTGTCATTCCATACATTGCAGGAATATCGGAAAAGCTCAGGAAGATCTCCAGCCAACACAACATACGTGCTCACTTCAAACCCAAGAGTACACTAAGACAGAAGTTTGTCCACCCCAAGGATAAAACACCCAGACACAAACTGAGCAATGTGGTATATGCAGTACAATGCAATTAGCCATGTGCAGATCTGTGCATTCGGAAAACAAAACAATCACTTCATAAAGGCATGGTACAACATAGGAAAAAAAGCCCATCAGGACTAGATTCAACAGTCCATCTGCATTTAGAAGATACAGGCCACATCTGCTTTAGAAGACATCTCTTTTTTTGCCATAGCATTTGCCTTCTAGAACATTCTCTCTTTGGAGATGGAATGGTCCCAATGCTACTGGCTTTGAGCTGAGCTTGGGCCCCAAAGTGTTTTGGAGGACCTGTTTCATGGTTAATTTAATCATTATGATGGGTAATTTATATATAAATGGTTCATGTACTCACAGGATTCTTGTCATTGAAGCGAGTAGGAAGTCTTCTGCCAGGCATCTTTGGCCTATTTGCAGTGGGATGTGATAAATTATCTGAGGTAGGTGATAGATCATCAAAACTTAAAAGTTCTAAAAAAAAAATGAAAGCAGAGAACATAATGAAAGCTCAGGAGATTTCAACTTCTCACATCTACTTTGAGATGTTATTGCCAATAATATTCTACATTCTAGCATGGAAAAGAAATGGAGTATCATTGGGTTAAAAGGATATGCCATCTTTAAAATGTTGAAGAGGCAAGGCCGTGTAGGAGAGAAACTCACAAATTTTTAATGCAGGATAGATCTTTCTTAAAACACTGAAACAGCACGCAATTCAAACAGAGAAGTTACTGAGCCAGTTCCCAAGCTCCAGGTTTGTGATATGTCTCCCACTGGACATGACCTTGAAATATCTTTTTTATGCCAATTCATCTCATGTATACCTCTTCATTTGTAATATTTGTATCCTGTTTATACATCTCTATCAAATATATCAAAATTACGCCCACCCAAGCCAATTATACACATCCTTTATTTCACATTACAGACAGACTTCGGCTTATGACAGCAATTGGGCCAAAACTGCCATTGCTAAGCAATGCGGTTGTACTGTAAGGTGTGATATCACACAGTTGTGTCAATTAGCAGTGGCAGTTCCAGCAGACCTGGTTGCCCTAATTAAGTGAGGATTTCATGTGATTCTGCTATTTCTGAGTTTCTGCTGGCTTCTCCACTGAATTTGTTTGTGGGTACTTGGCAGGAAACTTCAGAAATTGCGATCATGTGACTGCAGCTTGCTTCAACAATTGCAAAGCAGGTGGAGCACCAAGATCACAATTATGTGACCACAGAGATGCTGACAGTAATAAGTACCCCTTATTCAGCACCGTTTAAACTCTTGTTGAACGAATGGTGGTAACCTAAGTGTCATCTATATACTCACAATATCTCCTTACTCTCAGACAGTGCTAGTTACATTACTGATCCCAATTCATAAGTTTCATATAGAGTCCTCCATCTAACAATTTTTTCATAGTACTACATCCCTCATACATTCTTTCATAGCGGCAGCAAGAAGAGAGTAGAGATATCCTAGAGTACATATAATCCTCATTTAGTGACTGCAACTGGGACCAGTAACTCCGTGGTTAAGCAAAGTGGTTCCTAAATGAAAAATAATGCAACCACAACTGTACAGGACAATGCATACACTAACTTTCTGTCAAAACGTGACAGAAAGGGGGAAGTTGTAAAGGTCAAAAATCCTGATATTGATCCCGAATTATTTTTAGCACTACTGTAACTGTGAATAGACGTTGTCCAGGCAATCACTAAGTGAGTACTATCTGTACTGATTATTTCTTTAAATTTCTATTTCACAATTGTACAAATGGCTAAGAGGGCCCAAACTAAATTCTCATTTCCTGACACTTGATTTATCAAAAGTGCTTTTGATTAATTGAAACGAGGAGCCTCATAATTATAAAAAAGGAAATGAAGTCCCTATCAAAAGATAACCTTTCTTTGCATAAATATAACGAAGGGCTCATTACTATTACTAAGGCTATTAACTATATAAAACAAAATCCCAGGAGAGATTATATAGATCTCATATCAAGACTACCAGAACAAAGTAGAAAATGAGTTCTAGAATCTTAAAAGGACCAAAAAGCAAGTGTAAGAAAGTATCTAGAAAACAGATCATTAGACTGATCTGATGGCGGGCTGACTGCTCCAGTAACAAAGTTCCACATCAGCACCTCTTTGTTAAATAACATTCATCAGAACATCTTCATCCACAGGAGAGATAGATATTCCTAGCAAACTTATTCAGATTAATTTTGCATTTGTATTCTACAATAATTTCAAGAATATTTTTAAATGGAACCCCATGTTCAACATTATGGAAAAATCTAAACAGAAGGCTACAGAAGTGTGGATAATTAAGGTAGGGTTACAGTTGGAAGATTATGTTTAGCTGATAAACACAGTACTGATATCTAATCCTCTTCAGCTAATATACCCTTCAACAATCGTAGAAAAGGGAGGCAAGGACCACAGTAATCAGCAGTAAATTCATCTATCCGCAAGACTGGTTGGATTCAAGTTCCATTGCTACTTAATGTATTGAGGATATGGAGATGTTGGGAGGATATTAAATGCTCTATGTGAGGAAGTGAGACCCTTTGGTTTTTACCCTAGGTAAAAACTCCTACTTTAACTCTTTGGAGTACTGTCTAAACCAAAAATTGAAGGATCTGACTTTGATCACCGTGAACATCTGCTGAGATGGTATACAGGAGGACAATCAATATTCAACAACTTATCACATATTGGCATCAAAATTGGTTCAGGCATTACTCTTAAAACTATTTTTTAAACTGGACATGTAAGACAAAGTTTTGTACAGACTGTGATTGGAGTTGAGCACGCTTCAACTTCATTCAACTCTCTTAATTTGGATATAAAATTTAACTTAACTAAGCAGTTTTGTGCCAATGTTATTCTTTCTGGTCAGTTCAATTCTTTCTGCCATCTGAATATGAACTTAAGGTTCAACAGTATAGTTTTCAATCAAACTTTTGTGTGTGTTCTTTTTGCTTGGAGTGTGTTTTAATCTCCATATTGAGTAAATAGGCACAAAGTTAAAACAGAATTAACCCCCCATGTCTATGACTTTTAAGAACAGCAAGGCTAACGATTTAACAAATATTAAGAAACGTTTATTGTCTTTCAGTTAAGAAAGGCCTTTAGTGCATAAATTTTACAGGTCTGCCACCCAGCTGAGTTTTACTTATTAAAATAATGTAATAATGCATATGTATGGATCATTTACAGTTCCTCCTCTACCTGTCAGACTACTTCTACCAAAGCTTTTCCCCACTGTACAACTGCTTCACCTGAACAGTTCTGTAATAATATAAGCCTGCTATCAAACCAATTTTCTTTGCCTGGTTTAATCACTTAACTGGGACTACTTCAGGATTACACCTGCTAGCCTACCATCACCAGCATCTGCTGCTTCTACTATGTCAACCATTTAACTTTGAGAGCTCCTTTCTCCTGATGCCAGCCTGTTTCTGTGCTACTGTACTGCCAAGGCCTATCATTCTGACACTTAATGATGCACTAGATGGGCCACCTTTATGCTTTTTTATATTTAGCAGAGTCTTTTTTATACTTAAGATGACCCATCTAGGCAACCTACAAAAGACTGTATTTTGCTCCTGGATATACCACCAGTGAATCACTGCCTTGTTGTGGTGAAGAGATTAAGAAAAGGTGGCAAAATTACATAGAAGAACTATACAAGAACGAGCTTAACATCCCTGATAACCACGATGGTGTGGTCACTGACCTCGAGCCAAATATCCTAGAATGTGAGGTGAAATGGGCCTTAGGAAATCTGAGCAATAATAAAGCTAGTGGAGGTGACAGTATTCCAGCTGAGCTATTCAAAATCTTAAAAGACAATGCAGTAAAAGTGCTACACTCAATTTGTCAGCAAATTTGGAAAACTTAACAATGGCCACAGGATTGGAAAAGGTCAGTTTACATTCCAATTCCAAAGAAGGGCAGTGCCAAAGAATGTTCAAAGTACTGCACCACTGCACTCATTTCACATGCTAGCAGTTATCTCAAAATTCTACAAGCTAGGCTCCAGCAGTATGTGGATCTAGAACTACCAAGATGTACAGGCAGGATTTCGAAGAGGCAGAGGAACTAGAGATCAAATTGCTAACGTACACTGAATCATGGAGAAAGCTAGGGAGTTCCAGAAAAACATCTACTTCTGCTTCACTGACTATGCTAAAGCCTTTGATTGTGTGGATCACAACAAATTGTGGCAAGTTCTTAAAGAGATGGGAGCACCAGACCATCTTATTTGTATCTTGAGAAACCTACAATATATGCGAGTCAAGAAGCATCAGTGAGAATTAGATACAGAACTACTGATTGGTTCAAAATTGAGAAAGGAGTTTGGTGAGGCTGTATACTGTCGCCCTGCCTATTTAATTTATATGCAGAGCACATTATGAGAAAGGCAGGGCTAGATGAATCATAAATTGGAATTAAGATTTCCGGGAGAAATATCAACAACCTCAGATATGCAGATGATACCACTCTAATGGCAGAAAGTGCAGAGGAACTACAGAGCCTTTTAATGCAGGTGAAGGAGGAGAGTGCAAAAGTTGGCTTGAAACTCAACATTAAGAAAACTAAGATCATGGCATCCGTCCCTCTTAATTCCTGGCAAATAGATGGGGAAGAAATGGAGGTAGTGACAGATTTTATTTTCCTGGGCTCTCACTATAATAAAGTTAGGTGGGATTATTCAATCTACCTTTGGATTATGGGTTTCCTGTTTTATTCTTAACACTGGTACACCACAGGATTGCGTGTTGAGTCCTTTACTCTATACTCTTTATGTGCTTGACTACATTCCTACTCACACTAGAAATACTGTTACTAAATTTGCAGATGATACAACAGTGGTGGGACTCATCTCCGGGGGGGGGGGGGGGGGGGTCTCCCCCCTGGGATGAGGTGGATCGATTGCTTTTGTGATGTGGAGACAACAACTTGGTCCTCAACACCAATAAGACCAAGGAGCTTATAGAGGACTATAGAAGGAACAGATCAGACATCCAGCCCTTGCTTATCAATGGAGACCACGTGGAGCAAGTGGCCAGTTTTAAGTTTCTGGGTGTTACCATAAAAGATGACCTGACCTGGGGTGCTCACATTGCAGCACTGATCAAAAGGCCCAGCAGAGATTATACTACCTGAGACTTCTCACAAAACAACTGAATCAACCGCAGCACCATGGAGAGTATCTTAACTTACTGCACCTGTATACGGTTTGCCAATTGCACAGTGGAAGATAAGACAGCACTCCACAGGGTTAATGTCATTGCCCAGAAGATCATTGGTTGCCCTCTGCCCTCTTTGGAAGAGCTTTATAGCTCCCACTGCCTAAGAAAGTTCAAAACATTCTCAAAAATCCATCTCATCCTGGGCACCTTTTTTTTGAACTATTATCATCTGGCAGATGGTGCAGGATAATAAAAACAAGGACAAAATAGGTT